CCTCCCCCCCTACTCCACACCCCTTTCCACTACCTTCGTCCCCGCTCCCCTCCCCCCCCACCCCCTCCAATCCCTTCTCCAGGGCATAATGCTGGTGATGGTGTCTCTCTTTGTCACCGACGTCCCTCACTTGCTCTCCTCCTCCTCCACTACCTCCATCCTCACATCTGCTGCTGCTGCTCCTATTGGTGGGGGGTGGTTGGCCCTATTTCCACCAGCCCAGGCAAGGGCAGTGTGTGGTTACTATTGAGGCGCCCAAGGAGTAGATGGGTGCTGCTGCTGCTGCTGCTCCTCCGGCTGCTCCCACTGCTTCTCCCAGTGCAGTTGGTCTACTTCCACCAGTCCCGCTGAGTGAGCTGAATGAGACTACTGGCGTAATGCATCCAATTTGATCCACCAGAATCGCTGAGCAGCTGGCTACAGTAGCAGCATGTGGCACATAACAGAATGACTGTAGGATACAAGGATTGGAAAGTCCTCGAGACGGAAATGCTCATGACAAACTGGTGTATGGAGCTCCGCAATTCTATGCTCTGAGTGTACCAGCAGGTTATTTGATTAATTTTATTCTCGCTATTGCACGTCACGTGCCTGGTGAGCTGGTGGCTCCTAGGGCGTGGAACATTAGCCAAAAGAATACCGAACCCATTCCCGGTCCCGGCAAATACACTCGAACCACGCCCAAAACGCGAGGCGTGTCTCGGTATTACATCGCGAGGTGACAACAAAGAATGAGCATCGCCAATTGAGGACCGAACCCCAAATGGGCAAATTGCCCCGGTCGCCGAACCGCCTTCCCTGCGTTCCTAGCCAGGTTTCACCTGTGTGATGGACCACTGGGCAGGCTGGGCTCGGTCCCCAAACTCGGTTTTTAATGCGGTTCGCTATGTGCCACGCCCTCAAGCTCCTGGCGGTTCCGCGCGTCAGCTGCGCCAGCCGCGCTGTCGCTGGTGTCTGCGTGTTGAAGCGGGGTAGGGAGGTGGATGTGCTGGCGACGATTTCCGCTCCGCAAGTGTACCACGTGGCAGCACTACAAGTAACATTCGCGAACCGCAATTTCGCGATTGACGACTGCCTTCACGAAGTTGCAAGCAACCTCGACGTGCCGTGACATTTTGCTTCGTTGGTGGCTGCCGTGTTCGAGACCTCGTACCCACTTGGAGAAATGAACGTTCTTCCAGAGTGTACCATGTTCAAGACTAGCCGAGAGGGGTTCTTCTGCTGTCCCGCGGAGCGAAATGAAGGTCTTGGCTGGACGCGCTGTCAATTAATGAGTGCGCCCTTCCATCGGATGAAGACCCGTTTCAATCCCCTCGGGGGCACTTCGCTTCCAGCCAGCGGGTTTCAACGTAGTCGAAGGTCAGAATTGCCTACTCCACAGACGTGAGAAAGGCAGGTATAAAGCACCATAGCTCGCTCGTTTCCCCAGCAGCGCGAAGTTGTCCTCTTCACACAGCTTCTCTTGGCCTCACTGCAATACCTGGAAGTAGTATCAAGCCCTCGATTCTTGAATTGGGTTTATTTTTTCAGCAGCATCATCATCATAACGTCTTTAAAACCAGCCACCGAGAATGAAATCTTCCTTTCTCGCGCTCTTCAGCCTCGTCCCACTCCTCGCCTCCGCTATTCTCCCCTCCAACGCCGTTCCCCTCCTCCCCTCGCAAGAAAGTGCACTAATTTCCCTGAAAACCGCGTGGCGCAGCTGTCCGGTGACCAAGACATGGGTGGCGGGCGCCGACTGCTCAAAATGGTCCGGCATCAGTTGCGACGATCGCGGTGCGGTTTTCCAGCTGTACATCTACGGCGAGAACTCCTGCACCGGCGCGTTGACGGAATCCGTCGGGAACCTGACGGAGCTGACGTCGATTACTATATCCGACAACTGGCGCATCTACGGCAGCTTGCCCAAGAGCCTCTCGAATCTGCAGAAGCTCGAATCTCTAGAGATCCGCACGGATTTCAATGGAGGCCGAAATAGCGGCCTTTCCGGGGCCCTGCCAAATTCCATCGGGAATTTCGCCCGCAGCCTGACGAGCCTTATGCTCCTCGGAACGCGGCTCACGGGGAGCATTCCGCGTGGGCTTTCGCGGCTGAGTCGCCTCGTGTACTTAAACCTAGACGGAAACCGTCTCACGGGAGAAATCCCTCGGGAATTGTCCGGCTTGAGGAATCTCGTCTCGCTCGAGATGGGCGGGAATAGATTAACGGGATCGATTCCACCGACCCTCGCGGAAATAAAGCGCCTCACGACACTGAATCTTGGGAATAATAGGCTTTCGGGTGCGCTCCCTACAAAAGAAATACTCGATATAAAGAGCCTCGAGGACCTGGATCTGCGTAATAATCGGTTCACTGCTTCGTCTATCGCCGCCCTTGCGACCCATCCGTCTCTGACAGACATCGACCTTAGTTGGAATATTATTTCGGGCAGTGTTCCTGAGCAGTTCGGGCAGATGAAGAAGCTAGCGGGTTTGAAATTGGCTGGAAACAGGCTGAGCGGAAAAGTCCCAGTGGCTCTACTGCGAAACATGCCGAATCTCCATTACTTAGACCTTTCGTTCAACAGGCTAAGAGGCGAGTTTCCCTGGGCGTATATGAAAACCGCCCAGGCAATCGAGCACCTGAGTCTCCAGCGCAACGCGTTCGTCGGAGAGATTCCCGCAGATGCGTTTCGAAAGAGCGGCGTGGCAAATTTCAACATTTCCTTCAATCTCTTCTCCGGGTCCATGCCGAATCTAGGGTTCATGGGAGGAGAGGAGGAGCCGCGAGTAGACATCCGCGGAAATTATTTCTGGGGCAGCCCAGAGTTCGTCATGGACAATCGAAAAGTGTGTCCTCAGGAGGGGCAGAAGTACCCCGACTCGGACGACGAGTATTTTGCTGCGCTGAACTGCCTCGGTAAGAGCGGCAACTGTAACATGAAACAGCAACGGAGTGGAGCAGCGTGTAGAAGATTTTGTGGGACGAGTAGAACAAACGGTCCGTGCTCGGGACACGGCGTGTGCGTTCCGGCGGGTGGGAGCCGGTTCAAGTGCAGGTGTGCGAATGGGTACAAAGCGGCGGAGGGGAAGCCTCATCAGTGTGTCAAGGCGTGACGCTTTTCAGACTTGAGGGTTGGATATGGTTTTGGGTAATTCCAGATAGCTGCATGTAGTAGTTCTAGTAGTAGTCTAGCGGCTATTTATCATGCGTGTGCGTGTGGATCCGCGTCTGCGTGTGCGTGTGCGTGTGGGCGTAAATAGTGCGCAGTGGCGACATTCAATCGGGGTAGTTAAGCAGGTCTAGCGAGGTTAGTACTAGTACCAGTAGTGGTCGGCCTGATGTTACGATTATCCTGTCGAACATTCTCTTATTCCACACTTACCTTCAAATGATTCATCGTTACTAGTAACTACTGACGGGTGCACTGATGAGTCTGCAGACGATCTTTTGTGCTCACCGGAAAAGCGGAGGGGCTTGAATTTGAGAAACTGGCGGACTCCCGGCAACTTCCGTGTCTGGCTGGAGTTGAGCTCCTTCGAATGCGCGCTATGGTAGCTCCTTCAAAGATTGCAGATGCCACCAACTTTTGCACGCGCCACGCTTCAGCGTCCAATTGAACATCCAAGTTACACTTCAGGCACATTTGAAGTTCAACTGGAAGTTGTTACCACCATCAGCCGTGCCGCTTGACAAATGAGCGCGAAAACTGGAACTGCGACATATGCTTCCATCGTCCATGCGGCCTAGTTAGCCCAAAACGGACACGGAAGGGTATTGGGGAGCGAGGAAGTCGGGAATGGAAGAGAAGGGAAGGGTTGGAACTGGTAAGGGAGGGAAGGGAAGGGGCAGAGCTCATCCTAAGGCGAATTGGGCCTCTTCGACCGTGGCTGCCAATCGAAGGAAATTACAGCAAGGTGGAACGTGAGAGTCGAAGCGCAATTATTGGAGGCCAAATGATCATTGGGGCTTTGGGGTCCATGCAGAACCTGACGTGTGTAGTCGGCCGCGAGATGCGGCGCTGAGCAAAGCTACATGAAATGATAACAGACGTCGTGTAACGTCAATCTGCTCTAAGGAATCTCCATTCCTTAGTCGTACGTTAGCACGTACACCCGAACTCCTCGACTCGTCACGTTCGGTCTCATTTGTCGGCCCAACCCTTTCCTGCATCGCGTCCGGTCGGCACTGTCGCCACATTGCCGAACCTACCCATTTTCCGAGGTTATCGCCCTAGCACGCCAACCCCTATATAACCTCGTGCCTGTCAAATATATCTTTGTATGTTGTAATAGACTATACAGGGTTGTGCCTTAGAGAGTACAACCCATTAGGTTATATTCCCTTGTACCCGTAATCCCCTGAATATAACACCCTATGGTGGATATAAAAAATTACTTCAAAAATAAGTGGGTGTTAACAGCGGCCCGGAAAAATATATTGCCCATGTGTTCTGTAAAATGCAATTTGAATTTGAGTGCTCTAGGCCATGTGTGCACACAACTGTGCGGAGCAGCTGTTAACGAGACAAGCTTGCACCGGGACGAAATTTTGTTCGTTCGGGGTGTCGTTGGCCAATCCCTGCTGAGTGCGGTGGTCAGGGCCAGCTTTGTGCCGCACCTGCGATCGTCAAGACCTGAGGATTTCGCTCGGAAAGAATTCGACCGTCAAATCACAATAGAATCTGCAACTTCGACGGTCGAAATCCTCCCAAGTCTCGACCTCTCCTGACGTTTCGATTTCGCGTTGCAACTTGTGTTGATTCTTCTGCCTGTTTTTTGCTGCTAACAGTAGTTGATATTGCATTTTTTATCGTGCTCATTGTTTTCAACCGAGCGGACCTGGAAATGCACGACGGAGTACTGCTTCTATCTGCATAAAACGAGCAGGGTGTTATGTAAAATGCAACATGAGAAAAGCGGGTGCTCACAAAAATGCACCCTATTATAAGCTCTTCCCCGCATAAACCACCCATAGAGTGACTGTTTCGGCGGGTGCTGTATACGGGGGATTACGGTATGTCACTGTTCTAATTTTTCTTTCACTTCAACATGGTATCATGAGTAGGTTAGGTCCCCCCCGCCCACTAGCGCTTCCGCCCTAGGTCCTAGTTGCCCCGTTCCCCTTCCGCACGTGCTGGCCTGTGTCCTAGCCAGCCCTGTCGCCTAGCTGGCCCCGTAGCCCAGCCCGCCCCGTCGCCTAGCCGGCCCCGCCTCCTAGCCGGCCCCGCCTCCTAGCAGGCCCCGCCACCCAATCGACCCCGTCGGCCCAGCCACCTAGCTGGGCCTGCCGCCCAATCGGCCCCGTCGTCCTAGCCGGCCCCGTAGCTCAGTTGGCCCCGCCTCCTAGCCGGCCCCCCCTCCTAGCCGGCCCCGCCTCCTGGCTGGCCCCATCGCCCAATCGGCCCCGTTGCCTAGCCGGCCCGTCGTCCGACTGGCCCGTAGCCTAGCCGGCCTCGTCGTCCGACCAGCCCCGTCGCCTAGCTGGCCCCGTCGCCTCGCCGGCCCCATAGCCCAGCCGGCCCCGCCTCCTAGCCGACCCCGCCTTCTAGCCGGCCCCGTTGCCTCGCCGGCCACGTCGCCCAGCCGGCCCCGCCTCCTAGCCGGCCCCGCCTCCTAGCAGGCCCCGTCGCCTAGCAGGCCCCGTCGCACGACCGGCCCGTCCCCTTGCTGGCCCCGTCGCCTAGCCGCCCCGTAGCCCAGCTGGCCCCGTCACCTCCACGCCTAGCCGGCCCCATCGCCTCGCCGCCCGTGGCCCCGTCTCCTAGACGCCTCGCCGCCGTCCTCGGCCCTCTGCACCGCGCTGCACCGCCCGGCACCGCACTGCACCGCCCGGTACCGCACTCCACTACTCTGCACCGCACTGCACTGCCATGCACTGCACTGCACCACGCTGCACCGCATTACACCACACCCTACCATACTGCACCTCCGTATTCCGCACTGTACAGCACTGCATTGCCCATCACCACTTTCCGCCGCACCCTACTGCCCAGAGCCGCCTTTCTGCTGCTGCAGCGACCATCATGGGGGACTCGGTCCTCCGTTTTGATGCGGAGGGGCAACCGATTGAGTTCGACTCGTGGCTTGTTGACCTCCACCGACACCTGACTGGTCAGCCGCAAGATGGCCACTCCCTGGCCGTCCACATCGACGGTACGCTCCCCTGCCCGATCCCACCTACTACTCTACCCGCGGAGCCCACGTCTGCTGATCGTGAGTCCGCTTCCGCTGCTGCTCTTGCCCGTGCTGTCTGGTTGTCGTGTAACGCTGTTGCACAGCTTGAGATTAGTCATGCCCTCCCCCTGTCCGAGCGCCCCCGCTTTAGGTTGGTCAGAACTGCGCAGGAGTTCCTAGAGGTTGTCTTTGCGCGTTATTCAACCCTGCCCTCTGCCTCCGTAGGTCGTCTGATCCTGCCCATGCTCTTTCCTGACCTCGCGCCTTTCCTTACTGTGGCTGACCTAGCCGCCCATCTACGCACGCTAGACACGACCTGGCGCGCTGCCTGCACTGAGGCCCAGCTTCGTGTGTTTCAGCCTCCCATCTGCTCTACCCTCTACCTGCTTGCCACCCGCCTCCCTGACCGCCTTGCCACCGCCCGCAATCACTTCCTTCGTGATCTCACCCTCACCCGCTGACCTCACCCTCATTGACTTTGTTGACACCCTGTCTGCCGTAGAGACTCGTCAGCGCTCTATCGCCCAGTCTAGCGGTACTGTGCCGATCTCTATATTTCAGGGCTGTGCCCCTGCTCAGTGCGCTTACTCCGACGGTTCTGCTGCGGTTGCTGAGACAGCTCCGACTGCGGAGACAGCCGCCGCAGTGCAGTTTCTTCCGGGTAAGGGTCGCCGCCCCAAGGCTGGGCGCACTGGAGGTAGCGGAGGAGGGGGTGGTGCCGGTGGTGGAGGTGGCTCGCCCGCTGGTAGTACTGACGAGGGGGCTGGGGCTGGTGCCTCGGAGCAGCAGTCCCAGCTGCAGTAGCAGCAGCAGGCGCCATTTCTAGACCAGTAGCAGCAGCACCCGCAGCACCCATAGCAGCAGCACCAAGCAACCGCCGCAGCAGCAGCGGCGGGTCGGACGTCTCCCCCCCGGGTGGCCTGGAGCAATCTGTGACGGTGGTCGCAGTGGTCGTGCGTGCGGCGTGCCGTCGGGTGGTGGTTATAGTTACGGGCGCTGCCAGTACCAGCTCCAGACCAGTCCTCGGTGCGGCCTCGTGTGCGGTAAGATCGGCCATCCCCCCACTCATTGCTTCCGTCGCCTAGACGACCTGTTTCGTCTCTGCTTCGGCCCGTCGCCTGGCCTCCCCGACAAGCACAGTCTGTTCTGTCATGGTGTAAGGATCTTTGAAATGGACATGGATGAGATTAGCTCAGCTTTGTATGTGCTGTATGTCGATGACTCTGGTGTGACTGGTTCCTCTTACCCTGTGTTGCCTAGTGTAGGTGTGCCCAGTGTGCCTGGTTCAGGCTCCTCTACTGCGTCAGATGTAGGATCCCCAGCCTTGCTTAGCCTTAGGTCCTCCCTCACTCCTCCGACCCCTGTCGCCGCTGCCGCGCTCTCCTTCACCCTGGACTCCGGCGCTTCCCGGTGTTTCTTTCGCGACTCCACTACACTATGCCGCTTCTCGCTCCCACTGCAGTTGCTCTTGCTGACCCTACCTCCAGTCCTGTAATTGCCCGTAGCTCCACTACTCTCCCCTGTCCAACAGTTCCCTCGGGCTCCCTTACAGGCCTGCACATTTTCTCGTTCTCTAGGAACCTAGTTGGTGTCGGCTGCCTCCAGGACCTTGGCGTCACCACTACGTTCCCTGTGCACAAGCGGTACGCTGTCTGTACTGAGGCCGCCACTGGTGCCCCCCTCACTACGTTCCCTTAGGACCCGGTGTCTGGCCTGTTCACGCTGGACACCGCTTCCCCCCCGGTTGGGACACCTCCCCAGGTCGCAGCGTCTTCCCAGGTTTCAGCGGCATGCTCGTGTCGGTCGCTTACTCACCCGTCGCTTCTGTGGCACCACAATCTAGGTCACTCCGCTCTCACCCGTCTCCGTCACATGTCCCAGCACCGTCTTGTCCTAGGTCTTCCTAAGTCGTTCCCTACGCTCCCCTCCTCACCCGCGCCTTTGTGCACGTCCTCGAAAGCCCTTCCCGGCCCCACACATTCGTAAAGCCCCCTTCTCCCTGCTCAAGAAAGTGTCCCCCTGAAGTGCACACAAACGCAAAAGCCCTTCTGAGGGGCACATCCGAGGAGCACAAAAGCCCTTCTGAGGGGCACTTACGAGGAGCACAAAAGCCTTCTGAGGGGCACATCCGAGGAGCACAAAACCCCTTCTGAGGGGCACATTTGAGGAGCACAAAAGCCCTTCTGAGGGGGCACATCCGAGCAGCACAAAAGCCCTTCTGTCTACTCCTCTATCGTGCCCTTACGCCCCCCTTTCAATCGGATCATCACAATCATCATCCTCCTCCCCTTGGGCCATGTCTCCTCGCTCTTGGAAGTGTTTCAAACCCTTCTATCTGCCCCTTTATCGCTCCCTCTCCAAAGCCACCACTCCGATTATCACCATTCTCGTTCTCTTCCCCTTGAACCCCTTCGCCTCGCTCTGGAAATCACCCCAACCCCTCCTTCTGCCTTTCTGCCTCTCTGCCTCTCTGCCTCTCTGCCTCTCTGCCGCTCTGCCTCTCTTCCTCTCTGCCTCTCTGCCTCTCTGCCTCTCTGCCTCTCTGCCGCTCTGCCTCTCTTCCTCTCTGCCTCTCTGCCTCTCTGCCTCTCTGCCTCTCTTTCTCTCTGCCTCTCTGCCTCTCTGCCTCTCTGCCTCTCTGCCGCTCTGCCACTCTGCCTCTCTGCCTCTCTGCCTCTCTGCCTCTCTGCCTCTCTGCCTCTCTGCCGCTCTGCCGCTCTGCCTCTCTGCCTCTCTGCCTCTCTGCCTCTCTGCCTCTCTGCCTCTCTGCCGCTCTGCTGCTCTGCCTCTCTGCCTCTCTGCCTCTCTGCCTCTCTGCCTCTCTGCCTCTCTGCCTCTCTGCCGCTCTGCCGCTCTGCCTCTCTGCCGCTCTGCCGCTCTGCCGCTCTGGCTCTCTACCTCTCTGCCTCTCTGCCTCTCTGCCGCTCTGCCTCTCTGCCTCTCTGCCTCTCTGCCTCTCTGCCTCTCTGCCTCTCTGCCTCTCTGCCTCTCTGCCTCTCTGCCTCTCTGCCTCTCTGCCTCTCTGCCTCTCTGCCTCTCTGCCTCTCTACCTCTCTGCCTCTCTGCCTCCCTGCCTCCCTGCCTCCCTGCCTCTCTGCCTCTCTGCCTCTCTGCCTCTCTGCCTCTCTGCCTCTCTGCCTCTCTGCCTCTCTGCCTCTCTGCCTCTCTGCCTCTCTGCCTCTCTGCCTCTCTGCCTCTCTGCCTCTCTGCCTCTCTGCCTCTCTGCTTCTCTGCCTCTCTGCCTCTCTGCCGCTCTGCCGCTCTGCCTCTCTGCCTCTCTGCCTCTCTGCCTCTCTGCCTCTCTGCCTCCCTGCCTCTCTGCCTCTCTGCCTCTCTGCCTCTCTGCCTCTCTGCCGCTCTGCCTCTCTGCCTCTCTAACTCTCTGCCTCTCTGCCTCCCTGCCTCCCTGCCTTCCTGCCTCTCTGCCTCTCTGCCTCTCTGCCGCTCTGCCGCTCTGCCGCTCTGCCGCTCTGCCTCTCTGCCTCTCTGCCTCTCTGCCTCTCTGCCTCTTTGCCTCTCTGCCTCTCTGCCTCTCTGCCTCTCTGCCTCTCTGCCTCTCTGCCTCCCTGCCTCCCTGCGTCCCTGCCTCTATGCCTCTCTGCCTCTCTGCCTCTCTGCCTCTCTGCCTCTCTGCCTCTCTGCATCTCTGGCTCTCTGCCTCTCTACCTCTCTGCCTCTCTGCCTCTCTGCCTCTCTGCCGCTCTGCCGCTCTGCCTCTCTGCCTCTCTGCCTCTCTAACTCTCTGCCTCTCTGGCTCTCTGCCTCTCTGCCTCTCTGCCTCTCTGCCTCTCTGCCTCTCTGCCTCTCTGCCTCTCTGCCTCTTCTCCTCTCTGCCTCTCTTCCTCTCTTCCTCTCTTCCTCTCTGCCTCTGTGCCTCCCTGCCTCCCTGCCGCTCTGCCTCTCTGCCTCTCTGCCTCTCTGCCTCTCTGCCTCTCTGCCGCTCTGCCGCTCTGCCTCTCTGCCTCTCTGCCTCTCTGCCTCTCTTCCTCTCTTCCTCTCTTCCTCTCTGCCTCTCTGCCTCTTTGCCTCCCTGCCGCTCTGCCTCTCTGCCTCTCTGCCTCTCTGCCTCTCTGCCTCCCTGCTTCTCTGCCTCTCTGCCTCTCTGCCGCTCTGCCGCTCTGCCTCTCTGCCGCTCTGCCGCTCTGCCGCTGTGGCTCTCTACCTCTCTGCCTCTCTGCCTCTCTGCCTCTCTGCCTCTTCTCCTCTCTTCCTCTGTACCTCTCTGCCTCTCTTCCTCTCTTCCTCTCTTCCTCTCTGCTGCTCTGCCGCTCTGGCTCTCTGCCGCTCTGCAACTCTGCCGCTCTGCCTCTCTGCCTCTCTGCCTCTCTGCCTCTCTACCTCTCTGCCTCTGCCTCTCTGCCTCTCTGCCTCTCTGCCTCCCTGCCGCTCTGCCTCTCTGCCTCTCTGCCTCTCTGCCTCTCTGCCTCTCTGCCGCTCTGCCTCTCTGCCTCTCTGCCTCTCTGCCTCTCTGCCTCTCTTCCTCTCTTCCTCTCTTCCTCTCTGCCTCTCTGCCTCTTTGCCTCCCTGCCGCTCTGCCTCTCTGCCTCTCTGCCTCTCTGCCTCTCTGCCTCTCTGCCTCTCTGCGCTCTGCCGCTCTGCCTCTCTGCCTCTCTGCCTCTCTGCCTCTCTGCCTCCCTGCCTCCCTGCCTCCCTGCCTCCCTGCCTCTCTGCCTCTCTGCCTCTCTGCCTCTCTGCCTCTCTGCCTCTCTGCCTCTCTGCCTCTCTGCCTCTCTGCCTCTCTGCCTCTCTGCCTCTCTGACTCTCTGCCTCTCTGCCTCCCAACCTCTCTGCCTCTCTGCCTCCTTGCCTCCCTGCCTCCCTGCCTCTCTGCCTCTCTGCCTCTCTGCCTCTCTGCCTCTCTCCCTCTCTGCCTCTCTGCCTCTCTGCCTCTCTGCCTCTCTGCCTCTCTGCCTCTCTGCCTCTCTGCCTCTCTGCCTCTCTGCCTCTCTGCCTCTCTGCCTCTCTGCTTCTCTGCCTCTCTGCCTCTCTGCCGCTCTGCCGCTCTTCCTCTCTGCCTCTCTGCCTCTCTCCTCTCTGCCTCTCTGCCTCTCTGCCGCTCTGCCGCTCTGCCTCTCTGCCGCTCTGCCGCTCTGCCGCTGTGGCTCTCTACCTCTCTGCCTCTCTGCCTCTCTGCCTCTCTGCCTCTCAGCCTCTTCTCCTCTCTTCCTCTCTGCCTCTCTGCCTCTCTTCCTCTCTTCCTCTCTTCCTCTCTTCCTCTCTGCCTCTCTGCCTCTCTGCCTCCCTGCCGCTCTGCCTCTCTGCCTCTCTGCCTCTCTGCCTCTCTGCCTCTCTGCCTCTCTGCCTCTCTGCCTCTCTTCCTCTCTTCCTCTCTGCCTCTCTGCCTCTCTGCCTCTCTGCCTCTCTGCCTCTCTGCCTCTCTGCCTCTCTGCCTCTCTTCCTCTCTTCCTCTCTGTCTCCATGCCTCTCTGCCTCTCTGCCTCTCTGCCTCTCTGCCTCTCTGCCTCTCTGCCTCTCTGCCTCTCTGCCTCTCTGCCTCTCTGCCTCTCTGCCTCTCTGCCTCTCTGCCTCTCTGCCTCTCTGCCTCTCTGCCTCTCTGCCTCTCTGCCTCTCTGCCTCTCTGCCACTCTGACTCTCTGCCTCTCTGCTCTCTGCCTCTCTTCCTCTCTTCCTCTCTTCCTCTCTGCCTCCCTGCCTCTCTGCCTCTCCCTCTCTGCCTCTCTGCCTCTGCCTCTCTGCCTCTTCTCCTCTCTTCCTCTCTGTCTCTCTGCCTCTCTGCCTCTCTTCCTCTCTTCCTCTCTTCCTCACTGCCTCTCTGCCTCTCTGCCTCTCTGCCTCTCTGCCTCTCTGCCTCTCTGCCTCTCTTCCTCTCTTCCTCTCTGCCTCTCTGCCTCTCTGCCCCTCTGCCTCTCTGCCTCTCTGCCTCTCTGCCTCTCAGCCTCCCTGCCTCTCTGCCTCTCTTCCTCTCTTCCTCTCTTCCTCTCTGCCTCCCTGCCTTTCTGCCTCTCTGCCTCTCTGCCTCTCTGCCTCTCTGCCTCTCTGCCTCTCTGCCTCTTCTCCTCTCTGCCTCTCTTCCTCTCTTCCTCTCTTCCTCTCTGCCTCTGTGCCTCCCTGCCTCCCTGCCGCTCTGCCTCTCTGCCTCTCTGCCTCTCTGCCTCTCTGCCGCTCTGCCGCTCTGCCTCTCTGCCTCTCTGCCTCTCTGCCTCTCTTCCTGTCTTCCTCTCTTCCTCTCTGCCTCTCTGCCTCTTTGCCTCCCTGCCGCTCTGCCTCTCTGCCTCTCTGCCTCTCTGCCTCTCTGCCTCTCTGCCTCTCTGCTGCTCTGCCGCTCTGCCTCTCTGCCTCTCTGCCTCCCTGCTTCTCTGCCTCTCTGCCTCTCTGCCGCTCTGCCGCTCTGCCTCTCTGCCGCTCTGCAACTCTGCCGCTCTGCCTCTCTGCCTCTCTGCCTCTCTGCCTCTCTACCTCTCTGCCTCTGCCTCTCTGCCTCTCTGCCTCTCTGCCTCCCTGCCGCTCTGCCGCTCTGCCGCTCTGCCTCTCTGCCTCTCTGCCTCTTTCCTCTCTTCCTCTCTTCCTCTCTGCCTCTCTGCCTCTTTGCCTCCTGCCGCTCTGCCTCTCTGCCTCTCTGCCTCTCTGCCTCTCTACCTCCCTGCTTCTCTGCCTCTCTGCCTCTCTGCCGCTCTGCCGCTCTGCCTCTCTGCCGCTCTGCCGCTCTGCCACTGTGGCTCTCTACCTCTCTGCCTCTCTGCCTCTCTGCCTCTCTGCCTCTCAGCCTCTTCTCCTCTCTCCTCTGTACCTCTCTGCCTCTCTTCCTCTCTTCCTCTCTTCCTCTCTGCTGCTCTGCCGCTCTGCTCTCTGCCGCTCTGCCTCTCTGCCGCTCTGCCTCTCTGCCTCTCTGCCTCTCTGCCTCTCTCCTCTCTGCCTCTGCCTCTCTGCCTCTCTGCCTCTCTGCTCCCTGCCGCTCTGCCTCTCTGCCTCTCTGCCTCTCTGCCTCTCTGCCTCTCTGCCCTCTGCCTCTCTGCCTCTCTGCCTCTCTGCCTCCCTCCCTCTCTTTCCTCTCTTCCTCTCTTCCTCTCTGCCTCTCTGCCTCTCTGCCTCCTGCCGCTCTCCCTCTCTGCCTCTCTGCCTCTCTGCCTCTCGCCTCTCTGCCTCTCTGCCTCTCTGCCTCTCTGCCTCTCTGCCTCTCTGCCTCTCTGCCTCTCTGCCTCCTGCCTCCTCTGCCTCTTTGCCTCCCTGCCTCTCTGCCTCTCTGCCTCTCTGCCTCTCTGCCTCTCTGCCTCTCTGCCTCTCTGCCTCTCTGCCTCTCTGCCTCTCGCTCTCTGCCTCTCTGCCTCTCTGCCTCTCTGCCTCTCTGCCTCTCTGCCTCTCTGCCTCTCTGCCTCTCTGCCTCTCTGCCTCTCTGCCTCTCTGCCTCTCTGCCTCTCTGCCTCCCACCTCTCTGCCTCTCTGCCTCTCTTCCTCTCTGCCTCCTCCCTGCCGCTCTGCCTCTCTGCCTCTCTGCCTCTCTGCCTCTCTGCCTCTCTGCCTCTCTCTCTCTGCCTTTCTCTTCCTCTCTTGCCTCTCTGCCTCTCTGCCTCTCTGCCTCTCTGCCTCTCTGCCTCTCTGCCTCTCTGCCTCTCTGCCTCTCTGCCTCTCTGCCTCTCTGCCTCTTTGCCTCTCTGCCTCTCTGCCTCTCTGCCTCTCTGCCTCTCTGCCTCTCTGCCTCTCTGCCTCTCTGCCTCTCTGCCTCTCTGCCTCTCTGCCTCTCTGCCTCTCTGCCTCTCTGCCTCTCTGCCTCTCTGCCTCTCTCCTCTCTGCCTCTCTGCCTCTCTGCCTCTCTTGCCTCTCTGCCTCTCTGCCTCTCTGCCTCTCTGCCTCTCTGCCTCTCTTGCTCTCTGCCTCTCTGCCTCTCTTCTCTCTTCCTCTCTGCCTCCCTGCCTCTCTGCCTCTCTGCCTCTCTGCCTCTCTGCCTCTCTGCCTCTTCTCCTCTCTTCCTCTCTGTCTCTCTGCCTCTCTGCCTCTCTTCCTCTCTTCCTTCTCTTCTCCTTCTCTGCCTCTCTGCCTCTCTGCCTCCTGCCTCTTCCTCTGCCTCCCTGCCTTCGCTCTCTTCTCTGCCTCTCTGCCTCTCTGCCTCTCTGCCTCTCTGCCTCTCTTCCTCTCTTCCTCTCTGCCTCTCTGCCTCTCTGCCTCTCTGCCTCTCTGCCTCTCTGCCTCTCTGCCTCTCAGCCTCTCTGCCTCTCTGCCTCTCTTCCTCTCTTCCTCTCTTCCTCTCTGCCTCCCTGCCTTTCTGCCTCTCTGCCTCTCTGCCTCACTGCCTCTCTGCCTCTCTGCGTCTCTGCCTCTCTGCCTCTCTGCCTCTCTGCCTCTCTGCCTCTTCTCCTCTCTTCCTCTCTGCCTCTCTTCCTCACTTCCTATCTTCCTCTCTGCCTCTCTGCCTCTCTGCCTCTCTGCCTCCCTGCCTCTCTGCCTCCCTGCCTGTCTGCCTCTCTGCCTCTCTGCCTCTCTGCCTCTCTGCCTCTCTGCCTCTCTTCCTCTCTTCCTCTCTGCCTCTCTGCCTCTCTGCCTCTCTGCCTCTCTGCCTCTCTGCCTCTCTGCCTCTCTGCCTCTCTGCCTCTCTGCCTCTCTTCCTCTCTTCCTCTCTTCCTCTCTGCCTCCCTGCTTCTCTGCCTCTCTGCCTCTCTGCCTCTCTGCCTCTCTGCCTCTCTGCCTCTCTGCCTCTCTGCCTCTCTGCCCCTCTGCCTCTCTGCCTCTCTGCCTCTCTGCCTCTCTGCCTCTCTGCCTCTCTGCCTCTCTGCCTCTCTGCCTCTCTGCCTCTCTGCCTCTCTGCCCGCTCTGCCTCTCTGCCTCTCTTCTCTGCCTCTCTGCCTCTCTGCCTCTCTTCTCTCTTCCTCTCTTCCTCTCTGCCTCTCTGCCTCTTTGCCTCCCTGCCGCTCTGCCTCTCTGCCTCTCTGCCTCTCGCCTCTCTGCCTCTCTGCTGCTCTGCCGCTCTGCCTCTCTGCCTCTCTGCCTCCCTGCTTCTCTGCCTCTCTGCCTCTCTGCCGCTCTGCCGCTCTGCCTCTCTGCCGCTCTGCCGCTCTGCCTGTCTGCCTCTCTGCCTCTCTGCCTCTCTGCCGCTCTGCCTCTCTGCCTCTCTGCCTCTCTGCCTCTCTACCTCTCTGCCTCTGCCTCTCTGCCTCTCTGCCTCTCTGCCTCCCTGCCGCTCTGCCTCTCTGCCTCTCTGCCTCTCTGCCTCTCTGCCTCTCTGCCGCTCTGCCTCTCTGCCTCTCTGCCTCTCTGCCTCTCTGCCTCTCTTCCTCTCTTCCTCTCTTCCTCTCTGCCTCTCTGCCTCTTTGCCTCCCTGTCGCTCTGCCTCTCTGCCTCTCTGCCTCTCTGCCTCTCTGCCTCTCTGCCTCTCTGCCGCTCTGCCGCTCTGCCTCTCTGCCTCTCTGCCTCTCTGCCTCTCTGCCTCCCTGCCTCCCTGCCTCCCTGCCTCCCTGCCTCCCTGCCTCTCTGCCTCTCTGCCTCTCTGCCTCTCTGCCTCTCTGCCTCTCTGCCTCTCTGCCTCTCTGCCTCTCTGCCTCTCCGCAGCTCTGCCGCTCTGCCTCTCTGCCTCTCTGCCTCTCTGCCTCTCTGCCTCTCTGCCTCTCTGCCTCTCTGCCTCTCTGCCTCTCTGCCTCTCTGCCTCTCAACCCCTCTGCCTCTCTGCCTCCTTGCCTCCCTGCCTCCCTGCCTCTCTGCCTCTCTGCCTCTCTGCCTCTCTGCCTCTCTCCCTCTCTTGGCCTCTCTGCCTCTCTAACTCTCTGCCTCTCTGCTCTCTGCCTCTCTGCCTTCTCTGCCTCTCTGCCTCTCTGCCTCTCTGCCTCTCTGCTCTCTGCCTCTCTCTGCCTCTCTGCCGCTCTGCCGCTCTGCCTCTCTGCCTCTCTGCCTCTCTGCCTCTCTGCCTCTCTGCCTCTCTGCCGCTCTGCCGCTCTGCCTCTCTGCCGCTCTGCCGCTCTGCCGCTGTGGCTCTCCACCTCTCTGCCTCTCTGCCTCTCTGCCTCTCTGCCTCTCTGCCTCTTCTCCTCTCTTCCTCTCTGGCCTCTCTGCTCTCTTCCTCTCTTCCTCTCTTCCTCTCTTCCTCTCTGCCTCTCTGCCTCTCTGCCTCCCTGCCGGTCTGGCTCTCTGCCTCTCTGCCTCTCTGCCTCTCTGCCTCTCTGCTCTCTGCCTCTCTGCCTCTCTGCCTCTCTGCCTCTCTGCCTCGGTGCCTCTCTGCCTCTCTGCCTCTCTGCCGCTCTGCCGCTCTGCCTCTCTGCCGCTCTGCCGCTCTGCCGCTCTGCCTCTCTGCCTCTCTGCCTCTCTGCCTCTCTGCCTCTCTGCCTCTCTGCCTCTCTGCTCTTTGCCTCCTGCGTCTCTGCCTCTCTGCCTCTCTGCCTCTTTGCCTCTCTGCCTCCCTGCCTCCCTGCGTCCCTGCTCTCTGCCTCTCTGCCTCCCTGCCTCTCTGCCTCTCTGCCTCTCTGCCTCTCTGCCTCTCTGCATCTTTGGCTCTCTGCCTCTCTGCCTCTCTGCCTCTCTGCCTCTCTGCCTCTCTGCCTCTCTGCCGCTCTGCCGCTCTGCCTCTCTGCCTCTCTGCCTCTCTGAATCTCTGGCTCTCTGCCTCTCTGCCTCTCTGCCTCTCTGCCTCTCTGCCTCTCTGCCTCTTTGCCTCTCTGCCTCCCTTGCCTCCCTGCGTCCCTGCCTCTCTGCCTCTCTGCCTCCCTGCCTCTCTGCCTCTCTGCCTCTATGCCTCTCTGCCTCTCTGCCTCTCTGCCTCTCTGCTTCTCTGCCTCTCTGCTCTCTGCCGCTCTGCCGCTCTGCCTCTCTGCCTCTCTGCCTCTCTTTTGCCTCTCTGCCTCTCTGCCTCTCTGCCTCTCTGCCTCTCTTGCCTCTCTGCCTCTCTGCCTCTCTGCCTCTCTGCCTCTCTTGCCTCTCTTCCTCTCTCTTGCCTCTCTGCCTCTCTGCCTCTCTTCCTCTCTTCCTCTCTTCCTCTCTGCCTCTCTGCCTCTCTGCCTCCCTGCCGCTCTGGCTCTCTGCCTCTCTGCCTCTCTGCCTCTCTGCCTCTCTGCCGCTCTGCCGCTCTGCCTCTCTGCCGCTTTGCCGCTCCGCCGCTCTGCCTCTCTGCCTCTCAGCCTCTCTGCCTCTCTGCCGCTCTGCCTCTCTGCCTCTCTGCCTCTCTGCCTCTCTACCTCTCTGCCTCTGCCTCTCTGCCTCTCTGCCTCTCTGCCGCTCTGCTGCTCTGCCTCTCTGCCGCTTTGCCGCTCCGCCGCCCTGCCTCTCTGCCTCTCAGCCTCTCTGCCTCTCTGCCGCTCTGCCCTCTGCCTCTCTGCCTCTCTGCCTCTACCTCTCTTCCCTGCCTCTCTGCCTCTCTGCCTCCTGCCTCCTGCCTCCCTGCCTCTCTCTGCCTCTCTGCTCTCTGCCTCTCTGCCTCTCTGCCTCTCTGCCTCTCTGCCTCTCTGCCATCTTCTGCCTCTCTGCCTGCTCTGCCTCTCTGCCTCTCTGCCTCTCTGCCTCTCTGCCTCTCTGCCTCTCTGCCTCTCTGCCTCTCTGCCTCTCTACCTCTCTGCCACTCTGCCTCTCAGCCGCTCTGCCGCTCTGCCTCTCTGCCGCTTTGCCGCTCCACCGCTCTGCCTCTCTGCCTCTCAGCCTCTCTGCCTCTCTGCCGCTCTGCCTCTCTGCCTCTCTGCCTCTCTGCCTCTCTACCTCTCTGCCTCTGCCTCTCTGCCTCTCTGCCTCCCTGCCTCCCTGCCTCCCTGCCTCTCTGCCTCTCTGCCTCTCTGCCTCTCTGCCTCTCTGCCTCTCTGCCTCTCTGCCTCTCTGCCTCTCTGCCTCTCTGCCCCTCTGCCGCTCTGCCTCTCTGCCTCTCTGCCTCTCTGCCTCTCTGCCTCTCTGCCTCTCTGCCTCTCTGCCTCTCTACCTCTCTGCCTCTCTGCCTCCCTGCCTCCCTGCCTCCCTGCCTCTCTGCCTCTCTGCCTCTCTGCCTCTCTGCCTCTCTGCCTCTCTGCCTCTCTGCCTCTCTGCCTCTCTGCTTCTCTGCCTCTCTGCCTCTCTGCCGCTCTGCCGCTCTGCCTCTCTGCCTCTCTGCCTCTCTGCCTCTCTGCCTCTCTGCCTCTCTGCCTCTCTGCCTCTCTGCCTCTCTGCCTCTCTGCCTCTCTGCCTCTCTGCCTCTCTGCCTCTCTGCCTCTCTGCCTCTCTTCCTCTCTTCCTCTCTGCCTCTCTGCCTCTCTGCCTCTCTTCCTCTCTTCCTCTCTTCCTCTCTGCCTCTCTGCCTCTCTGCCTCCCTGCCGCTCTGCCTCTCTGCCTCTCTGCCTCTCTGCCTCTCTGCCTCTCTGCCGCTCTGCCGCTCTGCCTCTCTGCCGCTTTGCCGCTCCGCCGCTCTGCCTCTCTGCCTCTCAGCCTCTCTGCCTCTCTGCCGCTCTGCCTCTCTGCCTCTCTGCCTCTCTGCCTCTCTACCTCTCTGCCTCTGCCTCTCTGCCTCTCTGCCTCTCTGCCGCTCTGCTGCTCTGCCTCTCTGCCGCTTTTGCCGCTCCCCGCTCTGCCTCTCTGCCTCTCAGCCTCTCTGCCTCTCTGCCGCTCTGCCTCTCTCCCTCTCTGCCTCTCTGCCTCTCTACCTCTCTGCCTTCTGCCTCTCTGCCTCTCTGCCTCCCTGCCTCCCTGCCTCCCTGCCTCTCTGCCTCTCTGCCTCTCTGCCTCTCTGCCTCTCTGCCTCTCTGCCCTCTCTGCCTCTCTTGCCTCTCGCCGCTCTGCCCTCTGCCTCTCTGACCTCTGTGCCTCTCTGCCTCTCTGCCTCTCTGCCTCTCTGCCTCTCTGCCTCTCTGCCTCTCTGCCTCTCTGCCTCTCTGCCTCTCTGCCTCTCTGCCTCTCTACCCTCTCTGCCACTCTGCCTCTCTGCCGCTTTGCCGCTCCGCTCTCTGCCTCTCTGCCTCTCAGCCTCTCTGCCTCTCTGCCGCTCTGCCTCTCTGCCTCTCTGCCTCTCTGCCTCTCTGCCTCTCTACCTCTCTGCCTCTGCCTCTCTGCCTCTCTGCCTCTCTGCCGCTCTTGCTGCTCTACCTCTCTGCCGCTTTGCCGTCCACCGCTCTGCCTCTCTGCCTCTCAGCCTCTCTGCCTCTCTGCGCTCTGCCTCTCTGCCTCTGTGCCTCTCTGCCTCTCTACCTCTCTGCCTCTGCCTCTCTGCCTCTCTGCCTCCCTGCCTCCCTGCCTCCCTGCCTCTCTGCCTCTCTGCCTCTCTGCCTCTCTGCCTCTCTGCCTCTCTGCCTCTCTGCCTCTCTGCCTCTCTGCCGCTCTGCCGCTTTG